TTCTGAGGGGACACGACGGCGGCAGCGGCGGGACGGGCGGCCCACCAGTTGAACGCCAACGGCTGAGGCAGCTGAGGAGGTATCTGCCGCCAAGGGGAGGGGGACACTGCTGAGCGCGGGGGTTACAGCGAGAGCCTGGGATTTCCTCGCTGTCGCCCGCCCTCCCCGCTGCTGAGTGGGCTCCTGAGGTGATTCCCGAGACCCGCGCGTGCCTGCGGAGACAGAGGCGCGGGGCGCCGTCGGCCAGAGACGCAGCGATGACGAGGCAGGAGGGCCAGTGCTGTCTGTGGGATCTCCGCCAGGAGATGCACGGGGCCTGGGCAGCCAGGCATTGAAGCTGTCACCTGCAAGCTGCTTGTCGGGGTGATCCAGAGACTGGTTCTGCCCCGCGCGCCTTTTTAATGGGCTCTGTTCCGGGTTTTCGGCCAACTCCTCCAGCACTGAGAGCTCCCAGTACCTACTTTAGAGAACGTCACTTTGGGTTCTGATGTTCTTATGTAAGAACCAAAGGGTAACAATGGGATTTAAAATGAGTGGCAAATTGTCAACTACATCATTCTTCAAAACTCGTTTTCTTCACAAATCTGACACAGGCTACTACTATGCAGCCGTTAGTAAAATACAGTTCGCCTAATGAGCCTTCACTTTAAGTGACAATACTACAGAGTATAGGTGCAAACTCTACCACCTATCGATGTTTTCTCTGTATCATTCTTAAATAGCTCCATTGAGTAAAAGAGAAACTTTATTTCTATAACCATTTTACTAATGTCAGTAAGTTTGGTCACGAAGGTTGCGATAACCTATTTTCTCTAGTTCAGTTTTATGAGATGCAGAATTGCCGCTTTCTTCAGCTGGCATGAGTTGACAATACCCCTCTCGGTTCCCCGCCCCCCAAATTGCTGAAACAGCAGTAGTTAAAATATTGTAATGTTTTCATGGTAGTAATACAAAACAAGTAAAATTTAAGATGGTCTGCATTTAGGCTTGTTTATTGTTCTAATAATCCAAACTTAAAAGTGTATGTGAAATGTTGGAAATAAATTTAAAAGATTATCTAGGCAAGTCTACACTCAGAGAACATAGGTATAGCACATTACTTTCATAATCCAGATCGTGGTTATTTACAATTTTTTCTTGGCTGACCAGGTGTGGAAGATATTGTATGAGTACTTTATAGTGCTTACATTCCAATTGAATCTAAGAACATTGCATCAGTATTTCTAGAAAAGACAATTTCCAGTGTCAGTAATTTGTGGAGTAGCTTTATATTAAAAAATGTAATGTAATGGATATATTGTGAGTAGTCAGGGGTTCCAGTAATAGGGAGATGTTAAAAGTAATTTTATCAGAATAATACTGATAATAATAACAATGAACATTTATTGAGCCCCGTGCTAAGCACCTTATATACATTTTATCCTCAAAACAACTCCATCATTAGCCACATTTTACAAATGAGCAAACATTAGCTATCACATTTACTTCCTATCCCCAAACCTATTACACATAGTTCAATAAATGTTGAATAAATTAATGAATAAGTCTTAAAGAGGTTAAATAGTTTGTCTGAGGTCATCATGCATGATTGTAATACCTAGTTAAGGTGATTCCAGAATATGAGCTTTTAAAACTAGTGAAATATTTGTATCAGTGTCACAAAATGAAGATTATGAGTGAAAGGAAGGTCCATTGAATGTCAACTGAATGTCTTGTCAGAATGTTAACTACAGAGAAGTCTGAGAGTCATCATGAGTATTTCTGACCAGTACCTAACCAGCAACTTTAAGAATGTAGGAAGTGATCAAAATTGGCTGAAACACTAAACTGCATGTCTAGACTGGACTTGTATGACAAGCAACCATACTGTGCATCATTGCAAGTTCAAAGTGAGGTATCACTTGCATGATGAGTGGAATATTAATAAAAGCAATTGCCAAAGACCAGAGCGCAGTAAAAATAAGTTATGTGTATTTCATGAAAAGACCAGTGCCAAAGAAGATGGGAAAAAAGATGCCAGGAAAGGATTTCGGGGATGACCCAATGCCAGAATTAAGTTGTACATATTCTCCTCCTATTTACATTACAGTAATGAATTTATTTGTTCTAATCCCCTAAGATAACTATAAAAAATGAGTCTAAGAACCAAGAATGACTGAGCCAAATTGTGGGTGCAGAGTTATGCATAGATTTCACCAAGGCCTTAAGTATTTGTTCTAAATCTACCTCCCTTAGGTTTCCCCTGCGAAACACAGCATTTGCCTTTGATTTTGACAATATAATAGGCATTAATTATTTTACTTAATTTGTACAGAACACTGGCTTTTCCCTTCAAATATTCTTGATTTGGGGAAAGAAAAATAAAAAAAATATTAAATCATCATTGTCTTCAGTCTTTTATTCTTAACTCCAAACGACTCAGCTAAATCTTTCCTTCACTTTTCTTTCCACAATTTTTAAAATAAATTTGCTTTTATATTATTTGCTTGTTATTCAAAATGTTAATGTCTTGCTCCATTTCTGTAGGTATAGTATAATGTGATTATACACAAACTTTGGCAGGTTAATTTTGCCCTCTCTGAATGCACAATACAGTCTCAAAGACTGGGGGGAGAAGTATGTTGTTATAAGATACATATCAAAACATAATGCAGTAAATGGTATGATGTCACACGTACTTCAACAGTCTAGCTATAAAAGACAAACTGATTTTTTGGAAGCAGCCTTAGATTCTTTTTGGAAGCAGGGAGAGTAGAAATATTAAATTAATTAAATTAATTGGAAACAGCAAGCGAGATGTTTGCAACCATATCAAAATGAATTACTTTAAATGATCTTTTAAAAATCTTTATTTTGGGGGGCCTTTATCTTCACTTACTGTTTCTTCTAAGATGCTTGCTCTGCGACAGACCTCAGGCTTGCCAGGCAAGACGTATTTTATTGCTTTTAGTTAACATTTAGACAATATGTCTTGCAGAGCCCTTTCTGGTGATTTTCCCACTATGTTTAGATTTTGTATTTTTGCTATAGCTGTCGGTTTAATTTTTAGATTTCTTGATTTTTAATGAGCAATATTTTATCATAGATTATTTTTCTCTTTCATCTTTTATTTTTCAGTGGGTAATGAGAAGTGACAATACAGAAAAAACAGCTATGAGGGTAGTCCATGTCCTAAAATGCAGGAAAGGATAGGAGCCTCTTTTCTTCACTTAGTTTTTCCCAGACCTTTCCTATAATCTCAAAAGCAGATGTTCTATGCTGGCCCAAGCTGTATTTCTTGATCAGAAAAATTAGCTAGGCAATTCTGATAAGAATAGTAGTGATAAAACAAAACACAAGTTATTCCCAAGAATGATGTATAAAACTTGCTTCAGAGAAAGTACAGCAAAATTTCTGGTACAATATTGTTACTTCCTTCCCAGTGCAATTCAACTAACAGCTATAAGTTAAGAAAGCTGCTGATATAACCAACTACCTGATAGCAATCTAAGCTTCCAATCATCAGAGAAACAAGTAGTAGAAAGAAACCTTCACTGTAAATGGGCCTTCAGTGCACTACTCTGGGCCAATCTCCCTTTAGATTTACAGAGAGAAGCACTCAGAGAGGATAATTAAATTAGTAGAATCCTTTCTTTGCTGTTCTGCCTCTAGGGTAAACTGTATTAAATCAAGGCATGTCCTTCCAAGACCAGGATTCACAGCAATCCTCTCTGGGTGAAGAGAAATTGGCTTGAGTTGAGGTTATTCATATAGAGTTTTTTTAGATCTTTTTCCAGGGCTCCCTCAACTTTATTAATCACAGTCTAATAAAAATCTCAGAGCCCACCAAGATTAGGAAATCTAGTTTTAAGCCCTATCCCACTAGGGAAGTTTCTGATGCACTTGGCACCCTTTAATGAAGGGCATATAAACTCGTTATTCAACAATATGGTTTTGAGCACTGTCAATGTGCTGGCCCAGGTTGTATCTGTTGATCAGAAAAATTTGCTTGATTTTGTGGTTGCAAAGATGACCAAGATACTAATAGACTGGTAGGGGAAACAGTTAACTTAATAAGATAATGTGATAAGTGAAATGATAGATGTGCCCAGTGCTGTGTGAAAAGTATGTAACAGCTGGGGGAAAGACTATAGGGAAGGGATAATGCCTGCTAAAGGTCTTAAAGGATGACTGCAAAGCAATAATGCGGAAGAGCGCTTATAGGAAGAAGGACAGTATAAGCAAAGTTATAGAGCACTATGTATAGGTACCTGGATGGCTAGTATTAAAAAACAAAGCTAGAGGTGACAAGAGATGAGGGCGGAGGTAAGCAACAGCCAGATCATGGGAAAAAGGTCAAAATATCTAAGATAGAGTCATTTAAAGATTTTAAGCAATAAAGTGACTTGGTCATATTTATATATTTATGCTTTTTCCAATATAGACTACTCTGGCAGCTATGGAGAACATAGCTTTGAGAAGAATAGGATGCAGGGTTGGGGGGGGGGGTATTGTCAATTCAGAGCATGTTTGGCAA